CTTTTAGTGGTGAGATTAAATCGACAAACATAATCTTGGTTGTAACAGTTGTAGTACAAAGCCCCTCCATACAGAACATTATTTGGACCCTGGATGGTGTTGGTAGTTGGGTTTGAGGAGTGGATCTGGACGTTACCTGAAGAAGAAAAAGGAGGAATAAATGTATGTTAATAGTTTAAAGCTATAATTTGCTTCACAGAAATGTGTCAGTAATTTGGACAAACTGCAAAACATTGTTCTTAAGAACTATGGCAGGTGAGTATTATTTAGTAAAAACACTCCAGGATAACATGGGCTGGGAACCAATGCAGAACTGTCTATGCACCTGTACAGGACCAGCACTGGAACAAGGGCTGCTTGTTGAAAATACGTAATCCTGATACTTGGTATCAGTATAACTTGCTACCAAATGTTTTTCACTCTTCTGAAGAAAACAGTTTGAAACAATTGTGCAGTTTACTTTATTCCAGTTTAAGTAGGGAAACTGTGAAAAAATCTTAAAGTTCTTTTTTAATATTAAAGTGTAAAGCCACTTTTATAAAGGGTTGCATAACTCGATTTTAGGTACAGTTAGGTAGTTACCTAACAAACTCACTGTACACGGTCCTTTCCAAACACCTTCAGTAACCCAAAGTACAGCAAACCTCTAGGGTTAATTATTTCATTTTTGAAAATTCAAACAATTTAATAAGCTACTTAATTACCAACTTCAGAGTGATCCCAGTAAAAACACTAAGGTTTTTTTTTGCATTATGTGGGAGGGAAAAAAACAACAAGAAGAGAGCAGTTCCTTACCTGGGACGCTCACTCCAATGATGAGAGAACTCAGACTGCTGTAAAAACGAACATAGTTGGAGTATCTGTTACTCGAAGTCATCATCACCAGCCAGTACCAGCTCTCTTTGCCTTCCTCTGGTCTGGGATCACGGCCCCAGGCTCCGTAAGCGTGCGAGCCAGGATATTCTCCTGCTGTGTAGACCCTTGGTCCAGTGACATTCAGAAGCCGGCTGCGTTGACAGGTACCTGAGGGGATAAAAATAAAAAGGATTATTAACTGCTCTAACCCCCTAAGAACAGACTCCCACTGCCACCAGAAGAGAAACAAACACAACTCACCCTGTGGGGGCTCGGTGGGTGTGACGGTAGTGTTCATTTTTTTGTTGCACTTGAATAGATCTGCCTTCAGAGCAGAGTTGACTTTTTGTCCCTTTATCACCTGCATGGTGTCGAACTTCTCCAGCTCTTGCATCTCTGCTTTAAAGTTCTCCAGCTGAGACAAATTTTGATTGTTTACAAGATCGCAAACAGAGTGAGGGACAAAGATACAGTGATGTCAGTGTTTTGCAGCACGTGGTTGTGAATCTACCTGTTCAGTGGCGTTAGCAGTGAGGATCTGGTGTTGCTGGGTGGTGCTGTTGAGCTTGTCAATCAGCTGCTTGATCTCAGTCATTTCATTCTCTATAACATACAAGCTGAGAACTCCATACAGCTCTCCGTCATCCTCCTTCTCCAGGATCAG